TTTTTTTTTTTTTTTTTAAAAAGATGACCGGTAAGGGGATCTCAACCCTTGACTTGGTGTTGTCAGCACCACGCTCAGCCAGTGAGCTAACCGGCCATCCCTATATAGGATCCGAACCCGTGGCCTTGGTGTTATCAGCACCGCACTCTACCGAGTGAGCCACGGGCTGGCCTTAGAACCCATTACTTTCAAAAGAGAGAAAGAATAAAAGAAATGCCACCTCTGTAAGTCAGCTTGGTGGCATAGTATCCAACTGCAGATTCTCCATTCTATATCAATATCTAATTTGAAATCTAAGACTTTCCTGATTAATTATATTCTATAATCATGCCACTTTCTTTTCTTTTATATGAATAAATAAATACATGTCATCTTAAGATCTTTCCCATGGAACTTTGTGGTTAGGACATGTAACCACTGTAGAGATGCTGGTGGTTTCCACTGTCGTCTCTGTAGGTCCTAGTAGCCATCATGATGGCTTTGGGAGTAAAGCTAAGGCTCTAGGCAAAATTGCCTAAGTTTGAAACTGGACACTGCCACATTATTAGCTGAAGGACTTGGGGAAAATCATCTAAACTCTCTGATTCTCAGTTTTCTTCTTTTAAATTGGGGATGAAGATGGCAATAGAATCTATCTCAAAGGGTTGTTGTAAGTATTAAATAGATTAATACAGGTAAAGCACTTAGAATAGTGCCTGACACAACATGAATATCACATAAGGGTTATTACCATTATCTCTAATATGGAGAAAAAGTTTACACCTAGCATTTATTATAACTATACATCCCTCATGTAAACTTCCTATTAAAAACTTTGAGGCTATTTAGGTTAGGAGTAAATCTATAAAAGCTTCCCAGAGGCAATGCTGTCATCTGAATTTTGAAAGAGGCACTGGAGTTGGCCTGCTGAGGAACAAGAAGTTTAAAGGGTCTAGATTGTCCATTTATGATAGTGTCCCTGGTCAAACTATTCAAAATAAGACAATTAATTGATGAGAACCATTTTATTGGTATTCAAAGCATAACAGATGGGGAATTTTACTTTATCACTTATTATTCTAACCTATATCAAATTATCCCATATAGGTAGAGATTCTTAGTAATTCAGGTTAAAAATGCATCTCTTTAAGTCTCTCAAAAAATCTACTTGAATGAAAAATAACATCTATCTTTCACCAAGCGGCAGCCTTGTAATGAGCTCTTTTTAGGAACTGACTCATCTAAACTCACTAGAAAAAAGTTCTCCTGTTGCCCAAATTGGTAAACTTAGTGAGTAGCACAGCCAGGGCTTGGACTCAAGGCTGCCAAGTGCATGCTCTTCATTGCCACACTAAGTGAAGTTTTGTATCAGTTCCTCACCAACATTGTCTTGTTTTCCTCCTATATAATTTGAAGAAATATTCAGAGAAACACCTGCATTAATTATATTAATTCAGATTTTCTTTCTGGGGACTTTTTAAGCTGTTACATAAGATGTTGTAGTGTATAAGTTTCCCTTTGAGACTACGGGGATGAACCTATTACCAGATTTCCTGCTGGTCAGCACTATTCTCCAACTAAAAGTGCTTTCACATCCACATCTTCGTTTGCTCTTTCCCCTAGTGGATATAGAAAACTACTTGAATAATGCATATTACTTTCTATATTCTTTGGACAGAATGTTGCATACTTAAATCATTAAAATGGATTCCTGGTTCAGAATCAGAGTTTAAAAGAATGAAAACTTTATTTGTAAGCGACTGGAATAGTAGTCAATGTCTAAATGTATTAAATAAATCCAAAGACATGTTTAAAAATCTAGTATTCATCAGATAATTCCTTTCAAGGAAGGAAGTAGAGAACTTAGTTCTTTTCCCCACTAAAACAGCTTCATTTTCCGGCTTCCATCACAGAAGCAGTTGACTGCATGAAGTCCATCTGGATGTGCGACCACCTCCTCCTAATGTTAATTGATGTGGCAATTTGGCCAGTGTCCCATTCTTCCCTGACCACTGGCTAATATGGCTATTATCCTTTATTCTTCTGAAGATTAGCCCCTTTATGTTTGTTTTTTTTT